TCAACCCTTACCCTCCCCCAGCCCTTGGCCATCCCTCAACCCTTACCCTCCCCCAGCCCTTGGCCCTCCTCAGCCCTTGGCCCCCATCCTGTGTCTTCCTTACTATTCCTGTGTCTTTTCCTTCATTTTTTTTTCAGTGATGGCTCCTTGTGATTTCTTTCTGGGTTGATGCCCTTATTTTGGAGGCTTTGAAGGCTTTCTGGGATTCTATTCTTGTGGGTTCTATTCTTGTGATAATGGGTTCTATTCTTGTGATCCATAGCATGAACTACAATCCAGTTTTCCTAGCACCTTCAGCGGAAAAGGCTGTCTTTCCCCAGAGATATTTGTGGCACAGTTTGTAGTTGTAGGGAGGGGTCTAGAGGTCAACACTGAGCGTCTTCTTCAGTCACTCACCACTTTATTTTTTTTGAGACGTGGTCTCTCACTGAACCTGTAGCTCACCAACTCAGCTAGACTGGCTGGCCAGTGAACTCCAGGGATCCCCCTGCCTCTGCCTCCCCGGTGCTGAAGGTAGAGACACTTGCAGCTGTACCCAGCTTTCACCTGAGTGCTGGGAGTCTACTTGGGTCAAGACATTTGTGCAGAAAGCACTTTTTCCACAGAGCCATCTCTCCAGCCTCCTGGCACCTTTCCCCCTATACTTGGGTCTTCTATTTTGCTGGTCTACATGTCTACTTTTGTTCTGGCAAACTGCTGCTGTGGGGACTTACAACCGTTGTACATTTGAGATGAGCCAGTGTGACACTTCCAGCCTTGATCTTTGTGTTCAGGTATGCTTTAAAAATTCAAAGTCTTTCAAGCAGGGGTGTGATGGTGTACACCTTAATCTCTGCACTTGGGAGGCAGAGGCAGGCAGATCTAAGCGTTCAAGGCCAGCCTGGTCTACAGAGTGAGTTCTAGGACAGCCAGGCCTACACAGAGAGACCCTGTCTTGGAAAAAAAATTCAATTTCTTTTGTGCTTCCTCATGAATTTTAGGACTTATTTTCCTATTTCTCTTAGAGAAGGCTATTGGAATTTTAATTAGCGTGCATTGACTCTATAGGTTCCTTTTGTAACACACCATTTTCACGTTACTGGTTCTCAGCTCTGTGACCATGGGAAGTCCTCCTTTCCACTAGGGCTCTTCCCCCTCTCTTCCTTTCAACTCCTTGGTTTATTTGTAAGTGTTTTGTTCTCTGAGACAACTGAAAGTGGGGTTCTGAGTCTTGCTTTTTTTTTCTCAGTCTGTTCATCATTGCAATATCTGTGTGGTGATTTTATATTTTGCCACAAGTGTTTATCAGATTTAAGCATTGCTGATGGAATCATTGGGGGCTTTTACATAGGAATACTGTCTAAAAATAAGGACATTTTGATTTTGTCTCTCTCCTATTTGTATCCCATTTCTTTATCATGTCTTATTGCTGTGGCTATGAAATCAGACAATGAATATGTATGCCAGGAGGCTCAGTAAATAAACCACTCAAAATGGCTGCTCTATTATTGGGGGGGGATAAGAGAGAAAGAGCAGCCAGAATCATCTGGAAGAGTCCAGAGCAGTCACATGGAGGCAGCGCTTAGTTCACCGTCTTACCCCGGAAGTTGGTATTGTAGTATCATTCAGATTGTTACATTAAATACTTTTATTATTTGTCAAAATTGATCTTTATCATCATTTTTCTCTTCTGGATTTGCCAGTGTTTCAATTTGTATTGTCTTTCATCAGCAACTCATCAGTTTTGTTTATATCTACAATTCCTGCCTTACCTATCACTTGTTTGTTTATTTTGTGTGTGCATGTACAGGCCAGATGTTGACAGAGGATGCTTTCCTTTGCCACTCTCCACCTCGTTTTTTCTGAGATAGGATCTTTCTCTGAATCCAGAGCCCACCGATTTAGACAGACTAGCTGGCCAGGGAGCCTTGGGGACCCTCCTGCCTCTGCCTCCCCAGCCCTGGGATTACGGTGTCTGCAGCCAGGCCCCACTATTTTATAAATATGGGCTCCAGGGTCCTCATGCCTGAGAAGACAACAGTCCACTAATTTCTGGATCTCCCCAGTTGTCTTCTAAAGTTTAAAATTTTCCCTTTAAAAATTCACTTTGGAAGAGCTTGTGGTTTTGTGGGCTGAACTCTTAATTTCAATCCTAAGGATTTGATTTTCTTCTGAGTCCCACCTCTCTCTCCCCCATTAACTGTGTTCTGAGAAGCAGCTCGTCCACACTCGCTGTTTGGTCCATGATGCACGTCCACCTCGCTGCTGGGTCCACCATGTATCTCCACTTTTGAATCGGCTGGAGGGGGTGTCTTTAGATTTCCCAAAGGTGACTTTCATTTTATGGTTATGAGTTTGTTTTATTAACTGTGGTTCAGGAGAGTGGTCTTTATAATGTCTTTTTCTTAGTATTTTATTACAGCTCATTAGCAGCAGACAATACAGAACATAACGTACCCAGCACACATGAACCCAACAGCCTGGCTGACGCATCTCAGCAGTTGCTGACCTGCTCAGCTCCCTAGGAGCCATTGTCCCCACAGTCTGGAGAGGACGTGTGTGGGACATTGCTCTTTTGTTCATTTCTGAGTGTTTTCATGGACTCACTATAGATGTTTAGAATGGTAATGACCACTTGCCTCCCTGCCTGTTTCAAGTGAAGTCATTCTGTCTGTCTGTATGCTTTGGCCGCGTGGTAACCAGCCATCTTGAAGGTGACAGCTCTCTCTCCTTTGCTCATCTACGTCTTCTTGTCGTGGGTGGGAATGACTTTTGGTCACAGGGTGTCTCCATAAGTGCCTACTGCCACCTCTTTTGTTCATTTATTTTAGTTTCATTGCAAATCAGAATTTGGGTCCTTTGTCAGTTACATACTATTAGTGAAGGTAACTGCCATCTGCAGGGCCCAGAACAGAGTGTCTCAGGAGCTTGAGACTGTGAGGCCCTTTCTGCTCCCAGAGTCCCTTCCTAGGGCATATCCTCCACCTCCACACCCATGCCTCCAAGGCACTATAGACCAGAAAGGCTCTGAGAGCTGTGGCCTGCAGATGGCAGATTATTGCCAACAATTTAGTTTCCAGATACCACTGTGTGGCTCTAACTGTGACAGGCTGGACCAGGCCACAAGTCCAGGCCAGAGAGGCTACTCCCAGCCAAGAAAAGGAGCTTGAGGTCAAGTCCCAGGAAGCAGAGGCAGGAGCTCTCCAGGGAATGTCCTCAGCACCCCTAGCAAGGATAGATGGCCCATGCAAAATGTCATCAAGGTGTGCTTAGACTTGTGACCAGGCTTTCTGTGAGTGGTCATCAAACACCCCGCCATACACCAAAGGCCCACAATCCCTCAGGAGAGCAGGTATCCAGCCATGCTGTTTTATGAAGACCACAGACCAGTGAGACTCTATGGTAGGAGCCTCCCAGACCCAAGTTCTCTACAAAGAACAGCTCCTAGGACTCACCAACCAGGACAGGGAAGTCTGGGGGAGTCAGGGTGGCCAAAGTCACGCCCAGGATAGGTGCCACTGTCAGACCCCCACTGTTGTGTCCCTGAACACAAGTTTATCCCTTGGACATACCTATGGAGAGGGAATGCCAGCTTCTGATACCATGGCAGGGGATGGGCACAGTGCCCTTGTGAGCAGCTGGGGATGGGAACTTGAGCATTCATGTGAGCCCAGAGACAATCTTGGTTAGGTTTGTCAAGCAGTTTATTGGAATATGACAGGTGCAGCTGAAGAGGGATTGGATGGGAGGCTGAGGATCCAGAAGAGCCAGGGCTGGCCTACACACAGCAGAGCCCTGCCAGACCCAAGGAAATGGCTGGGAGTCCATCTCCTAAGTGGCTTCTGCTTCTGTTTGGCTAGACTGTAGAGAACGATGCTCCTCACTGTGGCAGAACTGGGAGGTTCCCTGACTAGGAGCTGGGGATTTCTCCCAAAGTGAGGGAGGGGCAAGCAAGTGACAGCCGAGGCCCTGCAAGACCCTGGAGGGGTGGTGTAGACAGTTGCTGGTCACTAGCAGAGAAGCCAGGGGTCCGGTGAGACGGAGCTCCAAAGCTCCGGGTTGACAACAGAGCCCATTCAGCAGCAGGACTTCTGACCTGATGAGAGGACTCAGCAGGTCGGGCAGGAGCAGGCAGGGCGGCAGAGCAGGGACACACAGGAGGCTGGGCGGCAGCAGCTGGGCTGGCAGGAGGAGGCACAGCAGGAGGAGGTGGGCACACAGCAGGCAGGTCTGCACACAGGGCGGCAGAGCAGGGACACGCTGGAGCAGGGCTTGCAGCAGACAGGCTTGCAGCAGACAGGCACACAGCAGGAGGATTGACAGCATGAGGGCTGGCAGCTAGACTGCTGGCAGCATGAGGAGGATCCAGAGCAGATGGGTGTGCAGCAGACAGGCTTGCAGCAGACGGGCACACAGCAGGATGGCTGGCAGCATGATGATCCAGAGCAGATGGGTGTGCAGCAGACAGGCTTGCAGCAAAGAGTCACACAGCAGGACGGCTGGCAGGGGGAGCAGGTGCAGCAAGCTGGCTGGCAGCTAGACTGTTGGCAGCATGAGGGTGTGCAGCAGACAGATTGGCAGCAGGGGCTGGACACACAGCTCACTGGGGTGCAGATGAAGCTCAGGCAGGGGGATGGGGCACAGCAGCTGGGCTGGCAGCAGCTGGGTTGGCAGCAGCTGGGCACACAGCAGCTGGACTGGCAGCAGCTGGGGGCACAGCAGGTAGGCTCACAGCAGCTCTCTGGGCAGTCGTCCACCTGCCAGGAGGAGTTGGTGCGGGCGTCAGAGCAGACAGACATGGTGGAGGCGGCCATGGCGGGGTTGGCTGGAGGAGGGTGAGTTTGTGAGTGAGTGAGTGTTGAGTGTGAGTGTGTGTGAGGTGCTGGGCCGTCAGCTTTTATCCCCCTGTGCTGCTGTTGTCTGGCTTGGCCTCCCTTCCTTGTTGGTGTGACTCGTGGTCATCATCAGGTGTTTGTTTGTCTGGGATGTTGTTGTCAGGCCTGTCTGCCTCCTGCCAGTGGGTGGTGCTGGGGACAGAGGTGGCACAGTTAGGTGAGGCTCTGTGAGCAGTGAGGTTGGGGTGTCACTGCTGGGACTCTCCCAGCCATCCTATGGCAGCAGGGATGTCATCCGGCCATGGCCAGCTGCCAGGACCCCGTCCCCTCTCAAGAAGTAGTGGCGGGAGGACAATGTCCTCAGGCTAGTTCTCCTCCCACAGCCCAGCTCTGGTGAGGACAGCTGTCACTCATTGCAGTGTCGAGACCAGAGGTGTGCGGTGACATGTGTAGAGCCATTGGGTTGAGGGTGCAGTGACTGGCCTGTAACCTCCACCCCTGGAGTCTCCTCAGCTCCTGCACCTCTCTGTGTCCACCCTGCCCTGTGTCTGTGTCCACCCTGCCCTGGGTCTGTGTCCACCCTGCCCTGTGTCTGTGTCCACCCTGCCCTG